GCACTGTCCCACCCGAGATGTGAACCCGCATGAGAGTGGTGGACCCACAGCTTCCAGTGAGGAGTCCAGAGCCCTGCCCGCCGCTCCACACTGTAAGATTCCCCTGCGTTTTGGTGCTGGGAGTTCGGGGCGGACAACTGCAGGAGAATGACCCATATTCGAGTGCCTTCTGTCCCGACAGTCAGAGCTGACACGCATCAACACCAGGCTGGATGTGACTGCTCATTAGCTGCGCGGCTTCACTCGAGAGGGGGATGAATGACCCCTTCCATCCGCCAACTTAAATGCAGTTTTTGTTTTGGTCCCTTCTTCTTAATTGAGGACAGGACATTAAACTCATCCCCCCTGCCTGTGGTCCCCCCCCATCTTGCCTGGCAGTGACCCTGACTTGTTGGGGAGGAGAGCCGTGTATTGTGCCCCCAAGAGATACTGGGACCAAGCCTGGCTTCTGTCTGTGGACAGGCAAGTCCAGAACCGCAGTTCAAACTCTTTTCTAAGGTGCCAAAACACAGGAGTGGTGGCTACCGCGTGCCCTCCATTGCTCACACACAGTGCGTGTGTCACGTGTGCACTCAGAGAAAGAAGGACGCTCACACCGATACAGCCAGTGGCAGAGAAGCACCTGTGCACTCTTGGGACTATTAATAAATTCCTGTTGAAAAGGACAGCAACCCGGGGTCAGCTTTCACGTCTCTCCAGGCAGCTGAAGGATGTCCTTCACCTTGAGCTCCAGGGGCAAGCGGAACTTCTTCTTCGTCTCATGTAACTGCTATATATATATTAAAAAAAAAAAACTGAACCGCCCCTCAAGATGTATGGAGCATCTCTTGCGAGTTGCTATTCGGGTTGATGCGAGCGATTTAAAGCAGTGACCGCAGACTTCGACGCGCAGAGCTGTCCGCAGGAAGACACAGCTCCGACAAACGCAGAACCCTCCGAGAAATGTCGGTTTGTTTGCAAGTGCCTCGTGTTCGCGTTTATTGCAAAAGGGGGGCGAATAAAAGTGAATAACACCATCGTCGTGGAGACTCGGAAGAGGAAAGAAAACCTGAAATTCACCCTCCCCCCCATAAACGAGAGGTTACTCCGATATGGGAACGTCGCTCTTCGGCAAATCGCTTTCCAGAATCCCACCATCCCAAGCTGAGGATTTACAACGTAAACACCTCCTCGACAATGTATTTTTTCAGGACGTTTTCTGCAAACGGGCTCGGTCTATTACGGGGGACGCCGCCACTGTAGTTCTAATCAGAAAACAGTGCAACAGTCAGGCGGTGCAAATTCGTCACACCAGTTAAGAAGAGCAACGATTTAGCAAACACAGCAGCACACGGCACCTATCCAGTTATCTTTGGTTGGCACGGACTGGGGGGGGTTTGATGTGACAGTCCGGGCAGCTTTGTCCCTCTCCAGTTAAAGAGACAAAAACAGCCACATCTCATGGAGCTGGTACTGTGTTACTGAGCATGTCTCTTTTCTATTCGGGTTGCGTTATCCAGCAGGACGACAACAACAA